TCCCCCCCCCCCCCCCCCCCCCCCCCGTCTTATCACAGTGTTTCAGTCCTTGGCTTTCGGCGTCCTCCTATAATGTTTACCCCTTCTTTCTCCTCACCTATCTTCCCTTTTTTGTCCTCGCGTCTCCGCAGTGCTTAGATTGTATATTTTATCTGAAAGAAGCGTACAGCCTTGTCTGTTCGTGCTTCTTTGAGTGTTTTTCACTGTTCCTGAAATTGCTCGACGGTATTAACCCTCTCCTGCCATTATAGACTGAAGTGACATACGTCTCACTCTGATAAATATAATCTTCGATTGTTTATCTTTACATTTTAATGAATGATCTGCTGCAGCTTCTCATGTCTTTTATCTCATAAAATGTCTTAAACTAACTCTCATCATCACATTTTGCCTTTCGTCCTCCTTTTCCTGTATTTTACTTCTATAATAAACCTGTTAGCATCTCCGAGTTTAATCTTCTGTTTTTTCATTTTGAGAAAGAAACTATGAATAGTGATTCGTGAACCTGTTTTTTTTTTTTTTTTACTTTAAAGTCAGAAGTCTTCAAACATTCAACATCTCTGGCATCAAACGGTCTCTTTCAGTCAACTTTTATTTAAATTTCTTTGTCTTCTGCTTCACTTTCTGATCTTCAGCTTCATGTCTTGTCTTAAATCTTATTAACGCTTTCATTAAAATGCACCCATTTACGTAGAGCTGTCATAAAATTAGCTGCTTGTACTTTAGATTCAAGGAACTTTTACTGTAACCACACATTGCCTCTGTTTGGCAAGTAAAAGGCGAGATGCTTAACTTCTGCAGAGGAGAAACAAAAGCATCACAAACTGGTGTGGGAGATAAACAACCCAAGACAGCAACACTCCAATACTAGTGATTAAAGCAGCTCAGAATATCTTAACCGCTCGTCAATAAAATGAGATGAGTCGAACCCAGAAAGTAGAAAAAGACAGAATGAATCCTGAATCTGAGCCTGGATACAGAGCAGTCAGATCAGCTGCTGGAGCAACAGACGGCAGGTCCTCAAGCTGTGAGACGAATGAAACGATCCTCTAAACTTTGCTACAGCAGTCATTTACATATCTGACTTAGCTCAGTTTGTTCATACTTATATAACATTTTTTGTAGGCTATACAAAAGGATGGATATATTTTTAGTTTTTAAATACAACTTTGAGTTATGCAACGTGTAAATTTAATTTATTCTAATATGACAAACTAATGTACTCCAAATCTTTAGGAACTTGTTTTTCGTTATTGCCACCGTTACCCGCCACAGCCAACTGACCTTTTAAACAACAAAAATGGATATACCGTATTTTTCACTGCATAAGTCACACCTTTTTGCATAAATTAGGATGCCTGCGACTTATACAGCGAAGCGACTTGTGGTTTTTCCCCCAATTTTTTTGTCTTGGATCTGACAATTTTGTTCATTCCGACAGAAAATATTGAACACTACCATTTTCAGCCACTAGAGGGCCCTCGAGTAATATGGCAAGCCAAGTGTCTCATTAATACTTAAAAGTGGCTATTAATGAGACACTTGGCTTTGACCATTGAAGTGCATTTATTAAAGAAAGGTTAGATTTGACGCACCTTTGCTATAATGTTGAGCAAACATATAATTTTTTTAAGTGTTAATCTTGTTAAAGTCCTCCCGTGCACTCTTCTGCGGCTGCCATTTAGCAGCCAATCGATTTGCGGCACAACACCGGCCCACATTTCCGGGTGGTCAGCGTTGACGCATAATAGAAGCGACTTATACAACGAAGCGACATAGTTATGTTTTTTCCACTTTATTAGACATATTTGGACTGATGTGACTTATACCGTGGTGCGACATTTACTGCGGCAAGTACGATAACTCAGTCAGTTTTACAGATATTGAGCTAAAATATGGTCTCCTTGTATTTGAGACTAATCTTCAACTTAAAGTCTGAGCTTTAATAATTTGTACAATATGTTTATGGAGTCAACTATGTCTGTCTGTTGGCAAAATATATTATAGAACTGGATGGATTTGAATGCAACTTTCTGCAAATAATCACTGGATGTATTTCTACAACAAATTTACTTGTGAAGCTAACCTAATTCAAGATGGCTGCCAGGGCTAACTAGCATTATAAATCACAACAATGCCTCTAGTTTAGCCAATTTTAAAATATATTGTGTTAAAATTTGGTTTAGTAGCTAAGAGTCGTTCACATCAGATACCCCAATTTCTATTTATTATGTGAGGTTTTTGTCTGGAACTTTGGCATTTCCTGTTAGTCAACCTGTTTGTCTGTTAGTAAAATATCTTGTTAACCACTAGAATTTTTCATGAAATACATATTGACAACTGAATAATCAGTTTGACATGGCTACCACAGCTGTTGGACATTAAACCAACACAAACTGGCTAACTCTGTCAGTTTTACAGATATGAAGCTCAAATATGTTGTGGTAGTAGCTGAGGGTCATTTAAAACACAAAAACAAAAGTTCCTTTTTCACAAAGCTTGATACAAACCAAATAGGAAGTTTGTGTTAAAACTATAGGCTCAAAAGTGTTTGGGTGTGTTTAATGTTGGTTGTAAGTGATCTGAACACAACCTCTACAGATGCTAACAGCTGCTCTTCCCTTCACAGCTGGCAGTGAGATGAACCCCACATTCACCCGAGCCATTCACAGTCCGGAGGTGCGGGCTTGCCTGGAGAACGGGCCCTGCGCTGCCTCCCATTCCCCGCTGGCCGAGCGCAACGGCTTCCTGCAACTGCAACTGCACGGATACCACGCCAGCTTCATGATGTCCACGCTACGCAACCTCTCCCTCTTCCTAGAGGACGACTCCACGTCACAGGTGCTGCCCATGGAGATCAGTGTCAGGGACACGCTGATCACTTTAAAGGTACAAAAACATCGGTTCAGCTGGGAAGGAAGTATTTTCCCTAGATGTTCTAGTTCCTGATCATTTCAGCGCTAACAGCTTCATTAGTTAACTGCCTCTGTACAAAACAAGTGTCCTGTGACCTAATTGGATTTTAAAATTGAACTGAAAGTTTGACACAGAGAAGGCTTTCCTGCTCGCTCTCCTGGGTTTCTCTGTGGGTAAGGGGAGTCGATGTGGATGATTTGTTACGTCATGCAATACATTTCTACTGCAAACCAATTTCAGAAAAAGTTGGGACGTTGTGGAAAAAGTAAATGAAAACAAAACATCGGTTTGCGAAACTCTAACCCTTCTTTCCAGATGTGTAAGCTGCCCATTCCGTTGGCAATAATGCACCCCTATATCATCAGAAAGGCAGGCTTTGAATTGTGTGCTGGTAACAGGCTGGATGGTCTCGCTCCTCTTTAGTACGTAGGTTGTGTAATCTGTGGTTTCCTAAAAGAATTTCAGGTTTCAATTTGTTTAACTACAGAACTTTTCTACTTCGCCTCAGACTGCTTCAAAGGAGCTTCAGCTCAGAGAAGCCAGCTGTGTTTCTGGACGGTCTTCACATATGGTCTCCTCTTTGCATGGTAGAGCTTTAAACTGTCTTTGCGGATGGCACGGTGAGCAGTGTTTACAGATGATTTGTGGAAGTGTTCCTGAGCTCATGCAGTGATCTCCAGATCAGAATCAGGTCTGGCTTTAATGCAGTTCCACCTGATGATCTAATACTGACTTTCTGTCTTGACCTTTGAACTCTATTTCTCCAGATTGTTGAAATTAATTGTAGATGATGGAAGATTCAGTCTTGAATCAATTTATCTTTACCTGCTTCTTCCCTTTCGGGTTGCGGGGGTCACTGGTGCCCTTATCCAGCAGTCACTGTGCGAGAAACGGGGGACACCCTGGACAGGTCTCCAGTCCATCATAGGGACACATAGAGACAAACAACCATTCACTCTCTCACTCACACCTAGGAACAATTTAGTTACCATTCAGTCTAACATGCATGTTTTTGGTCTGTGGGAGAAAACTGGAGTCCGTCTGTCCATCCAAAGTTGGGTTGCGGGGACAGCATCTTGAGCAGGGAGGCCCAGACATCTGTTTCCAGCCACCTCTTCCAGCTCTTCTGGCAGGACCTCAAGGCGACAACTGGAGTACCCCGAGAAAACACGCATGCACGGAGAACATGCAAACTCCACCCAGAAAGGCCCCTGGCCAGATTTAATCCAGCAACCTTCTCGCTGAGAGGCAACAGGTCTACCAACTGAGCCATCGTGCTGCCCCTATCGGGGATTATTGTTCTGAAATTGTTCCAATCGTTTTAGATTGTTTTTATTTTTTTAATAGCCATTCAACTTACTGAATTGCTTCTCCTGCTCTTTCGTATCTGTATCACTCACTTTTACAACCTCTTGTCGTTGTGGTCTTAATTTTTTTTTTTTTTGTCCTGAAAAGATGCACATTCATAGTTTAAACATTTGATTTATTTTCCGTGTATCACTGTAAGTAAAATATAGGTTTATGAGATTTGCAAGTCATCACATTTTGTTTTTATTTGTATTTACACAACGTCCCAGCTTTTTCCACATTTATCGTTGTATATTCCAACAACGTGTCCCATTTGTCTTGCAGGATGACGGTTCCCGTGACAATCCCTCGGACCCCGACCCCTCCCCGATGACTCTACATGTAGACAGTCTCATCATTCACAAAAGAGACGACGGGTCTTTCTCTATAGGAGGTGAAAAACGCCTAATTTAACCAGCTTGCTGTTTTACATAAAATCCAGCCCAGATATATACATACGTGTGTGTGTGTGTGTGTGTGTAGAGAGAGAGATAGATAGAAATAGATATGATATAGAATGTCTTGGTAGACTCACATTTCTGCTCTCTGTCGTCTTATAGTGGACACTGCTGCTGAAGCCAAACACAACAAAGCAAATTCACTGATCGACAGTTCTCTGATTCCGGTCCACGAGACTGTGAGCAGAGTCTGCAAGATACAGAAAGCTACGCAGACCCAAAACCCACCTGCCAGCCCCAATCCATCATCCAGGGAAAAGGTAAGAGCGACACGAACAAACTCGCCTAACCCAAAGTAGAAGAGTTGTGAATTGTGACGGGTTTTGTTTTGCCAGAGAAAGAAGTCATTTTTCATTTGAGGACTGTAATAATCGATGTTCCTCCAGTGATTCACCCAATTTTCATTTTCAGATGCTAATAGACGAGAACGAATGCTTAAAGTTGGAGCTGTCCCGAACCAAAATGGCGCTGGCCGAGGCTCAGATGGAAAAGGACTCGCTGCTTCACCGCATCAAGAGCCTGAAAATGAACACCAGCTAGTTCCAACACTCAAACAAGAACCTGGACGGACAGCTGCCTTTGAGTTGGTGGCATTTTCATGCTTCTTTCAGGAGAAACTATTACGTGTAGCTTCAAAACAATGAAGCTGTCAGGATTTTTAGACATTCATCTGTTTTATCCTCAACATGCAGTGTTTGGGGAGTAGAAAAGAATAAAAAGGGACATTGTTTTACTATTTTATTGCCCGAGAAAGAGAAAACCGTGTGGGATTGATATTCTTGGCGGTGCCTAAAGAAAACCCTCATTATTCCTGTTCTTAAATAAAAGAACACAACAGCTTTTTCAGATGAGCTTCAGACGAACCTGTAGGGAAAAATAAAACACTGAATGTTGTAACTTTGGAAGAATGCCTTTAAAAAAACACATTTTGCACCGTGCTGAAATATTCTCTTCAGTGCATCAGAGGGGGTGACAGAGAAACCCTGCTCACCCTCAGTGTACAGTGTATATTGTACAAGAATGTAACAACATGAACTATTTTCTACAGACTTGTGAACAGTTACGCAGTGTTTCAGCTGAATCTGTTTGTTTTTTTGGTCTCGGACAGCCTTTTGTCTGAAGTAGAGGGTGAATTTTCGTGGCTTCGTTGATCAAAATGCCTCACGATGGTCTGCGCGCTCCATGCTTCTTATTTTTCTACGTGTAAAGAGCAACTTAACTTTAAAAACAGCGGCGTTGTAAATACAAGAGGTGAGGCTACAACGGAGAAAAATAACTTTGCTTCTTTCTTTTTACAAAAAAAAGAAGAAAATCTGTGCACAG